ATACGTGAAAGAAGCAAGAGCATTAGGGTGCAAATCCTTTAACGGGCGAGGAGACATCGGCGAAGCTGCTGATTGGATAAAAAGGTTCCAAGAGACTATCGAAGACATGCTACTACCTGAATACTTGAGCATTATTGTAGCCTCAAAATTGTTAGAAGATCATGCTGCTTCTTGGTGGGAAAATATAAAGGGAAAGTATCCAGGACAAATCACTTGGACTCAATTTGAGACAGAGTTCTATAACAAGTACTTTTCTCCCTTGGAGGTTCATCAGTTGAGGAAGCAATACACAAACATACGACAAGCTGATCTCTCTGTTAAGGGGCTGGAAGAGAAATTTAAATATTTCCAAAGATTTCTACCCGAATACAGACGAAATGAGAATGGAATGAGTGGGCACTTCTGGAATGTTCTCAATTTGGGAATTCGAGAGAAAGGAAAATTCAAAACCACCTAGTCTTTTAGCAGAACACTACAAGAAGCCTACCATGGTGAAGAAATCTACCAAGAAAGACTAGAATACAACAAGGAAAATCAAAGGAAGAGGAAACTTGAATCCCACACCCATCAACAAGCTAACAAATTCAATAGTGGCTCAAGTAGGAGTGGTGGTCATAACACCTTCAAGACTCCAGAACATAGCCAAAGGCCTAGATCAATAGGGCAAGGATCCTTACCTTGTAGAAACTGTGGAAGGAACCATGGCGGAAAATGCAACGAACCCCCAAAATGTTACAAATGCGGTGATCCAAATCACATGAAGATAAACTGCCCCCAACTGAGACAAACAAGTTCTTCTACGGTTAATAATAGAGGTGAAAGAGGTAATTCTGGTGGACCACCTAGAAATACAATCCATCAAGGAGGTACAATCAGTAATGCACCATCGGTAAACCAAAATCGTCCTCAAGCCCGTGTGTATGCAATGACGGAAGATGATGCACGAGCAAACCCCGACTCAGTTGCAGGTTTAACTTAATATTTATGTGTAACCTTTTTAAGTTTAGTATTATAAGAAAATAAAGACCATGTGAAGGTTATACTAGATAACATTTTAATTAAACCTATAGGAATGTTGCAAATTTGCGGTAAGGATGCTAGAGTCCTTATCGACACTGGGGCAGACCGATCATTTGTGAATGAGGTCTTTGCATCAACAATGGGTGTTCCTTTACAACCATTAGGAAAGACACTAGTTATTTCAACACCACTTGGTGAGGAAATGGAACGTAAAGAATATTATTCATTGTGTCATTTGGAGATAAATAAGAAGGCATTGACCTGCAATCTTGTACCACTAAACATGATCGAGTTTGATGTCATTTTGGGCATGGATTGGCTCGAGAAACATCACGCAAAAGTGGACTGCTTTACAAAGATAGTACCACTTGAGTGTAATGATGGAAGTTATGTAAACTTCGAGGGAGACTGAAAAGCATTGCCAATGAGCATATTATCAGCGGTTAAAGTTGATCGACTTCTAAGAAAGGGTTGCCAGGCTTACATAGCTTATTTGGTGGACAAATCAAAAGAAGAAACCAAACTCAGAGACATTCAGGTGGTTAATCACTTCCCAGATGTGTTTCCTGATGACCTACCAGGACTTCCACCTGATAGGGAGATCGAGTTCGTTATCGAAGTAAATCCTGGAATAAACCCTATCTCAATCCCCCCATATCGGATGGCACCAGTAGAACTGAAGGAGTTGAAAACCCAATTAAAAGAATTATTAAATCAAGGCTTTATTCGTCCAAGTTTTTCACCCTGGGGAGCGCCGGTCTTATTTGTTAAAAAGAAAGACGGGACTCTCCGTATGTGCATCGATTATAGATAACTAAATAAAGTCACAATCAAGAACAAATATCCATTTCCCAGGATTGACGACCTATTTGATCAACTCCGAGGAGCCACCATTTTCTCAAAGATTGATCTAAGATCAAGTTATCATCAGTTAAGGATCCGAGAATGTGACATACCAAAATCTGCATTTCGTACTCGATATGGTCATTATGAATTTCTAGTGATGCCATTCGGATTGACAAATGCACCAGCGGCATTCATGGACTTAATGAACTGGGTATTCCACCCATACCTTGACCAATTTGTGATAGTCTTTATTGATGATATTCTCATTTACTCAAAGAACAAAGAGGAGCATGAACAACACCTAAGACTGGTGTTAGGAACACTTCATGAAAAGAAACTCTTTGCCAAGTTTTCTAAATGTGAGTTTTGGCTCAAGGAAATTGGATTTCTTGGCCACGTAGTGTCAGGAGAAGGAATCGCAGTAGACAATGCAAAGATCGAAGCAATCATGCAATGGGAGACACCAAGAAACGCAAAGGAAGTAAGAAGTTTTTTGGGGCTTGCTGGATACTATCAAAAATTTGTGGAAAAGTTCTCTGTCTTGGCCTCACCCATGACGAAACTAACACGCAAAGATGTGAAGTTTATATGGGACAAACAATGTGAGGAGAGCTTTAAGGAATTAAAGAAAAAGTTAACAGAAGCACCCGTTCTTGCACTACCTGTACAAGGACTTGGATATATCGTATACAACGATGCTAGTCTAGGAGGACTAGGATGTGTACTGATGCAGTTGGGGAAAGTAATAGCTTATGCTTCACGACAATTGAAGAAGCATGTGTTAAACTATCCAACCCATGACTTAGAGTTAGCAGCCGTGGTGTTCGCATTAAAGATATGGAGACATTACCTCTATGGGGAAAATTCTCAAATTTTCACTGATCATAAAAGCCTAAAGTACGTGATGACACAAAAAGAGCTTAATATGCGACAAAGGCATTGGTTGGAGTTAATTAAGGATTACGACCTCGAGATTGAATATCATCCGGGGAAGGCAAATGTGGTAGCTGATGCTTTGAGTCGAAAGGGGACAAGCAAATCACCAAAGCTAGCTATGTTATCCAGTTTAAGACACATGAGGGTGAAGTTGGAAATGACCACTAAGGGAGATTTGGTGGCAAGGTTTGAAGTTTGACCAACATTGTTTGATGAAATAAAAAGGAGTCAAAGTGATGATGATGAACTCCAGAAAATTCGTGCTCGTCTTCACACATAAACAATTGAGAATTTTCAAGAACGAAAAGATGGGTTACTACTATTCAAAGATAGAGTATGTGTACCCTCAAACGAAGTGCTTCGGAGAAATATTTTCGAGGAAGCTCATAGTTCAACATACGCTATGCATCCAGGCGGTACTAAGATGTATCGCGACTTGAAAGAAAGCTATTGGTGGTCTGGAATGAAGAGGGAGATTGCTGAATTCATCAGCCGATGTTTGAGTTGTCAACAAATTAAGGCTGAACATCAAAGACCACCAGGATTGTTACAACCTTTGCCTATTCCAGAATGGAAATGGGAACACACCACCATGGATTTTGTGGTGGGTCTACCACGCACTACAAAAGGGTTCGACGCTGTGTGGGTCATTGTAGATAGACTAACAAAGAGCTCTCATTTTATACCTATTCACATGACTTACTCACTGGAGAAGCTACCTGAACTGTATGTGAATGAAATTGTGAGATTACATGGGGTCCCTGTGTCAATTGTTTCAGATAGAGACCCTAGATTCACATTACGTTTCTGGTCTAAGTTTCAAGCATCCATGGGTACAAAACTAAAGTTCAGTACTGTTTTCCACCCTCAAACTGATGGACAGTCAGAACGAGTAATTCAAATCCTTGAGGACATGCTTAGAGCCTGTGTGATGGATTTTCCAGGAAGTTGGGATAAACATTTAGCACTGGCGGAGTTTGCTTATAACAACAGTTATCAAGCAAGCATCGGGATGCCGCCATACGAAGCCCTATATGGGAGGCGTTGTCGTTCACCTTTATGTTGGGATGAGGTAGGAATAACCAAGCTTGAGGGTACAGAGCTAGTTGAAGCCACCAAACATAAAATAAAATTAATCCGCGAAAGACTTAAGGTTGCTCAGGATAGGCAAAAGAGTTATGCAGATCATTGCAGACGAGAATTGGAGTTCGCAGTTGGGGACTAGGTATCGCCATGGAAAGGGATTGTACGATTTCGAAGTAGAGGGAAACTAAACCCTCGTTTCATTGGACCTTTTCAAGTCATTGAACGTATTGGACCTGTGGCATATAGACTACAATTAACTCCTGAGTTAGAGAAGATACATAATGTGTTCCATGTGTCTATGTTGAAAAAGTATGTGCCCGACCCATCACACATTCTCAAAGAACCTCCAGTGGAGATACGGCCAGATCTTAACTATGCAATTCAACCTATAAAGATATTGGACGAGGGGGTAAAGAAGCTAAGGAACAAGGATATAAAAATAGTGAAGATATTATGGAGGAGTGACCGAGTTGAGGAAAAAACTTGGGAAACCGAAGACTATATGAAGAAGCAATATCCTTTCCTTTTCAATACTATTGGAAATTTTGGGGACAAAATTCTCATAAGGAGGGAGAATTGTTAGACCACACCCAGGTAAATTATCTTCTTTGACTATGTCATTATGCATACCATTTTAATTAAACAATAATATGTGTTTAATTTCCTTTGTTTTCAAACTGTAAACTTAAAAATCTTAAAACATATACTCCGTTAATATATACATACAGTTCTTTGTATTAGAAGTAAAATTAAATATTCAACCCCAATGCATTATTTAGACAATTTGGCATGAAATTAAGAGAAAGATGTTACATCATAATAATACTCCACTCCGGTGGCTCTTCCCTCCACTATCGATAAATAGTAAATAACCGTACCCTTGTTCTGTAGAACTGACCCAGTACATCAATAATTAAATTGTCTTACTCCGTATTTATTTTATTCAATGCCAGCCGTATACAAGTAAATGAGGTGGCTAGCATAGTTCTAAAGATATTTAATGTGAGTCCATTATTGTACGGAGTAGTAGAAATTTTATCATCTTATTATTTCCACACGGTGGATTGATAATATACTACTAGTATAAATACATTGCTCGCACACAGAGGAGAGGAGCGCAGCCAGCCATATACACTCGTCCAAATTTGTATCTTTCTCTAGAAAGAAGAATAAAAAAAAACCCGATACTTTATGTATATCCGTTCGCATGGGGTAAGCTAAGGAAAAAAAAAGAGCTCAGAAGGGTGAACGGGTGTAAAACTTGATCGATCAACAATTACTCCGTATTATATTTCTCTCTTAAACAGCGTTTACGCCGATTAGAGGTGAGGTTTAAAAAGTTTCCACTTAATATACACACGATTTTATTAGATGTGATTTACTAGTATTATGTAATGTTATACTGTTTAAATTTATTAAGATATTATATTATTATAATTGTACTTGTGTAAATTGTTACAACTATCTCTTCAAGTATGATATATTGCTACGTGTTAAATAACACATATGACATGTTTCATCAAATAAGGACACGTAATATCTACCTTAGTTAATTATGGAGCAAACATACTAAATTTAACAAAATGATAAAAAGTGAAAACTATAGTGTAAATATGGCTATATCCACGTGAATGAATAAAAATCACCTTAGAAAAGTTCTTACTCATATACTTCGTATATAGTACTAAGCACGTATTAAAATTAAAAAGAAAAAAGAAAAGTAAAAACAAAGAAAAGAAAAGAATCAGAATAGCAAATATGGTTGTATTCGTGTTAACTATTAGAAATTAATTAATTAATTAATACACATAATAAAAGCTTTTAACTCATACGTTAATTAAATGTGAAATTACTTAAGGAGTGTTTGCAATTGCTTCTGCTTAAAAAAAAGCACTTTTGGAGATGTAAGGAAAAAGTGATTAGTAGTAAAAGTTGATAGTGTTTGAGAAAAAAGTGATTTTGAAAAGTAAAAGTTGGTAGTGTTTGGTAAAATAAGTGCTTTTTGTGTAATAGAAAAGGGAAAAGCACTTTTCACACGCAAGTCGAGAAAAAGTAAAAATTGGTAGTGTTTGGTAAATAAGTGTTTTTTAAAGCCAAAAGCTGAGAAGTGCTTTTTTTAAGCAGTTGCAAACACTCCCTTAGTATAATATTATCTTTTACTAATATTAATATTATCACTGATAGAGCGTATGTATAAATTATTACTAATATTAATATTATTACTTAGTTTAATTAGTATAAATTAATGGAACATCAAAGTTTAGTTCATAAAATTAGTTGATAGTTTATAAATATTGGAAACGAAATATTAGATGATTAAATTAAGATAAATATATTGTATTCAATAAATCTGGATTGAAGTAAGAGAGGCATATTAATATTCAATCAATCTGGATAATGTCTTGAAATTAAAATTTATTTCATTATCATACAACGTAAGAGAACGTGCTTTTATTCATACACATTTTAATGGCCATGTGAGAAACTGTTATGTGTTAGAAATATAGCATAAGAATATTATTATTCTATTAAGGGTAGAATAGGACATGAAATTGTTATGTGCTAGGATGCCAGTACTAGATCATTATTCTACTAGGGTGTAGAATAGGAACCTACCGATACTCCAAATTTTGAGTACAGCGGGGTGGATATTAAGTAACCTTGTCAGGTTGGACAAGCCGAGCGGACAAGTCAGCTTCTCAGGAAATTAGATTCGGATGATGACTTGAGCCGATAGTGTCGGGGTCTTAGTAACCTTGTCAGGTTGGACAAGCCAAGCGGATAAGTTATTTTCCGTGAAATATAATTAACTAATAAATAAGTCCCTAATACGTGCAGTTTACCTTACTAAGCATATTGATGAAGTAAAGTTGGATATTTCTTACTTTACCTTTAAATAAAATTAGTATATTTGCTGAGTATTTTACGTAATTATTTTGAAAGAATATATAATTCATTTTTACATGATCATACAATATTAAATAACCTTTTCATGAAACCCTTCTGGTGGGATGGTGTGTATACTGAGTAAGAGGATCTTGGCAGTATCACAAGCTGACCCCTCACAGATTTGTATGTCAAGGAAACCTTGAATACATCTAGGAGTCTCGTTTCTTGTTTGGATCTGTTAGGGGCGGAATTTGGTTCGTATTGTTCGAAAATTGTATAATATTTTGTTAATTGCTCATGAGACTATCTTTCATCATAAAACTCTACTTTGAGCCTGTGTGTCATTATGTCATTAAATTATATCAGATCCATTTACTTATTAAAACATTTACTCAATAATTATTCTTTCTTTGAGTGGAATTATTTAGTGTAATGATATTGAGTGCCTTGCATGATTTGATGAGAGGATCAAGAATGATACTCTCATTGGATTATGCGGCAGTTGTCGGCGCTACTCGGTCGGTCCGGGGCGTGACAATTAAATTGGTACCAGAGCCTAAGATTCCAAAGTTTCCTAAACTTTTTTTGGAATCGTCATCTTAAGAACTTTGGATAAATGTTTATTTTTTTTCGTTTTCTTGAAAACATTTTTTTGTGTGTCTCATGAGCTTAGGATTTTTTTTATTAATACTGTCTCATGGAAATTTATTGTCACCTTATTACTTAGTCATCATAAATAATTTATCTTCAATTAATTTAAATAAACCTTTGATTTTCGGCACATGTTGCCGGTGGTACCTCATGGGAGTAGACAAGATGTAGTCAATGCGAAGATTAATTCATCATATTTGTGGTCGGAATGCAAAGTCCTTCGGTTGACAAAAAAATATGGACCTGCAGAACACGACTAATTCATCATATTCTTACATTTGAAGGTTTTTTCATATTGGATTGCCAGCATTGGTGACGGTGTTGCGGGTAAAGTAATGCTTAGTACTCTCATTTTGACCATAATATTATAAGTGTGTTTCGTTTAATGCTTTGTCAGTATTACATGAAGATAGATGATGCCATCAATTGATAGTGCGATTTGAATCACTAAGCACACATAAATTTAATTTGATAGAAAAATTCTCAAACCGTGCATCGCACGGGTGAGTTTACCAGTAAGGGCTAATTGAACACTTTCACTTCAAGGGTCGACCTTTTTAGCCTATACATTTTTTTTAGTAAATTGGCAGTCAATTGGCATTTTTCAAAAACCCATAGAGAATCGCCACTGGAGCGGAACGGTCATCGTCTTTCCTTTAGCAGAATCGGCACGGCTGCACTGTCCTAATACTTCACTGGTAAAATCTCAGCCACATCTTTCTTTGTTTCAGTACAGTCCGATGGTTAGCTTAAAATGAAAAAGGAGTATCTGTATTGTTTTGTCCAGTGAAAGCTCTAGCTATCATTATGCTGACCTCTATTTGTTTTGTTTTTATGAATCAAATGAGTCAAGTTATTGCCTCGTAATAGTAGTTAATACTGAGTACTACATATGGGAGGGAATAAGCTGAATATAACTAAAAATCTCAAGCACTTTCGGCGTCGTTTTCGTCCAATTTGGCGGTCTTAAAGACATACAACAGTATAAATGCCGTTTCCATCTGCGCTTGTGTTACCGTCCGAACCTTTATTTTGAAGTTTTGATAGGTTTGAGTGCTTTAACTATTTCCAGATCATGCATGTGTATTTCAATAATTGTGGTGGATCCCATTCATTGTGCCTTTATGTAATTATTATTTATAACAAAATTGGCCGTCTCTGAAAGTCCTAGATGATTTTGTAGGTTCATGGTGATGGGGAGCTTGAATGATGAGAAACTCAGATTTTGCATTGACAGAGGGGGCACGTTCACTGATGTTTATGCTGAGATTCCTGGACAGCCTGAAGGCCGTGTAATGAAACTACTATCTGTAGATCCTTCCAACTATGATGATGCTCCTGTAGAAGGAATCAGGAGGGTGTTGGAGGAATTTACTGGGAAGAAGCTTTCCCGCAGCTCAAAAATCCCTACAGACAAAATAGAATGGATAAGGATGGGTACAACTGTGGCAACTAATGCTTTGCTAGAGAGACAAGGGGAGAGGATTGCACTCTGTGTGACTAGAGGCTTCAAAGATTTGCTGCAAATTGGTAACCAGTCGCGTCCAAATATTTTTGACCTAACTGTATCAAAGCCTTCTAATCTTTACGAGGAGGTTGTAGAGGTTGATGAGAGGGTAGAGTTAGTCGATAATAAAGATGAATTAGATTCAGACTTTTCTGCCTCAATATTTCAGGGCGTTTCAGGTGAGCACGTAAGAGTTGTGAAGCCTCTAAATGAAGGAGCTCTAAAACCTTTGCTCAGAGCTCTGCTCGAAAAAGGTATCAGTTGCTTAGCTGTTGTTTTGATGCATTCTTATACTTACCCAAAGCATGAGATACTAGTTGAAAAGCTTGCTATGAGTTTGGGCTTTAGACATGTATCATTATCATCAGCTCTGACTCCAATGGTACGCGCTGTACCCCGAGGATTCACGGCAAGTGTTGATGCATACTTGACTCCAGTCATTAAGGAATATTTATGTGGGTTCATGTCTAAATTTGATGGACTAGAGAAGTTAAATATCTTATTCATGCAATCAGATGGAGGGCTAGCACCTGAGAGCAGATTTTCTGGCCACAAAGCGATTTTGTCCGGTCCGGCAGGTGGTGTAGTTGGTTACTCACAGACGCTTTTTGGAATTGAGACAAGCAAGGCCCTCATAGGTTTTGACATGGGCGGTACTTCTACTGATGTTAGTAGGTATGCAGGTAGCTATGAACAAGTCATTGAAACACAAATTGCTGGCACGATCATTCAGGCACCTCAGCTTGACATAAACACTGTAGCCGCTGGTGGTGGCTCAAAGTTAAAGTTTCAGTTCGGATGTTTTCGAGTGGGACCAGAATCTGTAGGTGCTCACCCAGGACCAGTTTGTTATCGAAAAGGGGGGCAGCTGTCTGTCACAGATGCAAATCTCATTCTAGGGCTTATAATTCCTGAATACTTCCCTTCTATTTTTGGTCCAAATGAAGACCAGCCGCTTGACATTGATGCTACAAAAAAAGAGTTCGTGAAACTTGCGAAGGATATCAACTCCTATAGAAAGATTCAGGACCCCTGTGCAAAGGATATGACTGTGGAGGAGATTGCGCAGGGGTTTGTGAATGTAGCCAATGAAACCATGTGTCGTCCCATAAGGCAATTGACTGAGATGAAAGGCCACGAGACAAGGAACCACGCTCTTGCTTGCTTTGGAGGTGCGGGACCTCAACATGCCTGTGCCATCGCTAGATCATTGGGTATGAATGAAATCCTAATTCATAGGTTCTGTGGAATTTTGAGTGCTTATGGGATGGGAATGTCAGATGTGGTTGAAGAGGCCCAAGAACCATATTCTGCTGTTTATGGCCCTGAATCTGTGCTTGAGGCATCTCGCAGAGAAGCTGCTTTGCTGAAGCAGGTGAAGGAGAATCTGCTACAGCAAGGGTTCAGAGAGGAAAACATCACTACTGAGACATACTTAAATTTAAGGTATGAGGGAACTGACACGGCAATCATGGTGAAAAGACCTGCTGGTGATGATTATGCCTGTGAGTTTGTCAAACTATTCAAAGGAGAATATGGATTTGACCTTGTAAACAGACATATACTTGTATGTGATGTAAGAGTTCGTGGTATTGGTGGCACAAATATATTGAGGCCACATGCATTAGAGCCTGCCTCGTCCATCCCTAAAGTTGAAACTCATCACAAGGTATATTTTGGGGATAAATGGCGTGAAACTCCTTTATTCAAGCTTGAGGGTCTGGCACATGGCCATGTTATTCAGGGACCAGCCATTATAATGAACGGTAACAGCACTGTGATAGTAGAACCCAATTGTAAATCGATCATCACCAAATATGGCAACATCAGAATAGAAATTGAGTCAACTTTGGACACATTGAAAGTGGAGGGAAAGGTGGCTGATGTTGTCCAACTGTCAATCTTCAACAACAGGTTTATGGGGATTGCTGAACAGATGGGCCGCACACTGCAGAGAACATCCATATCCACGAATATCAAGGAAAGGCTTGATTTCTCATGTGCTCTCTTTGGGCCAGATGGGGGCTTGGTAGCAAATGCACCCCATGTTCCTGTTCACTTGGGGGCAATGTCTAGCACAATCCGGTGGCAGTTGGAATACTGGGGTGACAATCTGTATGAAGGAGATGTTTTGGTCACCAATCACCCTTCCTCTGGAGGAAGCCATCTACCTGATATTACTGTCATAACACCTGTTTTTAACAAAGGTGAATTGATATTCTTTGTAGCAAGTAGAGGGCATCATGCGGAGATTGGAGGTATTACTCCTGGAAGTATGCCACCCTTCTCAAAATTCATATGGGAGGAAGGAGCTGCAATAAAGGCCTTCAAGCTCGTAGAAAAGGGTGTTTTTCAGGAAGAAGGAATCACACGCCTTCTTCGATTCCCAACTTCTGACGGACCACTCCATAAAATTCCAGGAACCCGTAGGCTTCAAGATAACTTATCAGATCTTCATGCACAAGTTGCTGCGAATCAGAGAGGGATTGCCCTTATAAAGGAACTTATAGATCAGTACGGCCTGAAGACTGTCCAAGCATACATGAATCATGTACAGGCAAATGCAGAAGGAGCAGTCCGAGAGATGCTCAAATCTGTTGCTGCTGACATGTCAGTGTCCACTAGGGAAGGTGGAGGTTTAGTCACTATTGAAGAGGAAGATTACATGGATGATGGATCAACCATACACTTAAAACTCACTATTGATCCTGAAAAAGGAGAAGCTCTCTTCGATTTTTCAGGGACCACTCCTGAAGTTTATGGTAACTGGAATGCTCCAGAAGCTGTAACTGCTGCAGCCGTCATTTATTGTGTAAGATGTTTGGTGAATGTTGACATCCCTCTAAACCAAGGATGCTTGGCTCCTGTGAAGATATATATACCTCCAGGTTCATTTCTCTCACCCAGTGATGGATCTGCTGTTGTGGGTGGTAATGTCCTCACGTCTCAAAGAATAACTGATGTCATCCTCACTGCATTTCAAGCTTGTGCCTGTTCACAGGGCTGCATGAACAATTTGACATTTGGGGATGAGAGTTTTGGATATTATGAAACCATTGGCGGTGGAAGCGGTGCTGGGCCCACGTGGGAAGGTACCAGCGGTGTGCAGTGTCATATGACCAACACCCGTATGACAGATCCTGAAATTTTTGAACAGAGGTACCCTGTTGTATTGCACAGATTTGGGATCAGAGAGGATAGTGGAGGCATTGGACTACACAGAGGGGGTGATGGGCTTATCAGAGAAATTGAATTCAAAAGGCCCGTTGTTGTGAGTATCCTTTCGGAAAGGCGTGTGCACAGTCCAAAGGGATTGAGGGGAGGCCAAAATGGGGCTCGGGGATCCAATTACCTCATTACAAAGGATAATCGTACTGTGTATCTTGGCGGGAAAAGCATGTTTGAAGTTCAACCTGGACAAATTCTTCGCGTTTTGACCCCAGGAGGTGGTGGCTGGGGTTCAATTTAATGGTCTACCGAGTGAGTGTTATGGAAAACCCATTTAATTCGCTTTTGCAATAAGAGAGGATAGGGAGTGTTAAATAATGTGGATATAATAAAAAATATGACCTTGTACCCTTTCCCCATGACATTTTTTTTACTGGACCGACTGATTTAATTCCAAAAATTTGCATGTTGCAGGAACTTGTGGTGAACAGACGGTTTGACAGTTCAGGCGGCTGTTGTTCTGGTAGTGGCTTAGTCCAGAATGACATTTGTATAGTGTATGATAAAAATGTTACTAGGGTCGTATTGTTACTTTTGGTTGTAGTGAAGTGGATGGATGTTATTTTTTCTCTTCAAATTAATGTATGTGTTGTACTTTACACATCTTTTTCAATTTGTATGAATGTTTGATGTATGCATATTTTTGTACGTAGTATATATCTTTAGTCAAAATACATATGGTTTTATTGAAAGTTTAAAACTGGCCAAATTGGTTAAACTATCAATTCAACCTGTGAATTTGTACCTTGATTTATTTTCGTGGAAACATCAAATTGTATCATACACGTCTAGTTTGATCCGATTGGGTGTAGCTAGATTTGGGAACTTTGTTAGGTGCAGCGCTTTGGTTGTTTAGCGTTGCCTATTTGGTCGTGTTTGATCAATTTTATTAGAATCAAGAACTTCATCGAGAATTGATATAATGCTATACTATCTTTGGCCCTTGAACAATGTGAGTTCCATCCTCCATGACTAGGATCATGCGATTAATTAGTTCATTGTATCATACTTCTGCATGCAAAGTGCTGATTGTGTTAACATGCTCAAAATCTTGAGATCTTCCAACTTGAGGTTAGTGGATTGTAAGGACTAAATGTAGCTTCCCAAGCTGAGTCTGACAGGATATTTGTATTATCAGTCTGCTAACACAACATGTGCAATGGTGGACGAGTTGAGCCTTTTCAACTGCAAATTGCCACTTCCTAATGGACATTCTGAACCAATCCTTTCTCCAAGTTTGGTTCACTTCACTCTTATGTATTTTTCTTATCTCCCATTACAAGGTCATAAGGCAACCCAACCGGCCTCCATTGTTTCGTTTAACCCATGTCACATGCTTCACTGAAATTTCCAAGTATTTGAAAGCAACAAGTTCTCCTATCTGCCCGTTAACAATGCTTGTTGTCTATAAGCAGTGCCCAGACATAATTGACCTCTATCGGTTTAATCTGAAGCCGAGAACCTACTAGTGAAGTCACAACAGGAGAAGAATCAAAACACATACCCACATCAGGTGTAGAGCTAGTGGTAATCTGGTAATGCAAGGATGAATTATTATCCACTGAAATTTTTTGAACAACTCTCTCAAAGTTGATATGTATTGGAGCAGGCAGGTTCTTTATGAGATGCCGCATGATTTCTACCCCCTAATTGTTTAGTGATCTCAAACCACTACTCCCATGGTGTAGGCAGGAGAAAAAGTTGTGGTAAATTTTCCGGATAAATATTTACACGTAAAGTACAAATATGTTTCAAATTGGTGTGGATCGGGGCCCGGTTAGGCCCCTGCCCCTGCCCTTGACTACTGCCCTTGTGTGACGTATATTTAGGCATGCCTGGAGCAGGAAAAGAAGGTGAAGTTTTCCAATTTGTGGGCAGCCGGGATCATAATCTATTCCGAGTCTCCTTTTTGAACTTGACTGGAATTGACTCTGTGGTTCCCATTGAAAATGTAGTCTGGAAGGGACCAAACATTTTCTCCTTTGGGAGTTTTGGCATTATCTCGGTGTTTACGATAAAGAAAGATTAGGATCTGAATTGTGTTATGGGACTGTACACAAGCCCCCTCAAAAAGTCACTCTAAAGTCTAAAAATGGCCAAAAAGAAAAGATTAATTGCAGCAAGTTCATTATAGTCCATAAACGCAACAAAACTATTAAGACTTTAAAAGTACATCTACAGAAAGATCATGATTTTAAAACACGTTTTTGAAACGCGCCTTGAGGCCTTGCCATCAATATGAATCATTGAAAGGAAAACCGAGGCTTAAGCTTCCGCTGGATGGACTGAGGGTTTATTGCAGTGTACACAATAAACCCTGATTCTCCCCTCTCACCCTTACCAAGATACTATCGTATTACATTTACTATGAGATAAAGAACTAAAACTATACTTCGTACAAAAACAAAGTGTATCTAAAAATAAGCCTCCAAGAACGGAGAACATTACAATATCATTTAGCCTATGCCTTTGCAAACAAAACATAGAATTGTTAACAAATGAAAAGGAAGCATGGGGTGAGGCACTTATCGAGTATAAAAAGAACTACATAGAGTATGAAGATTCACTTATCAAGATAAAGATGCTGCAACATGTATACAATTACTCCGTATTATTTTCCATTTACTTTCTTCATGCATTAAAACATCAAAAACTAATGATATCTTTTCTAAAATCTATGCAGAAGCCATCTAAACTCTACATGGCCAACCAAAGGTAAGTTTGCATCACGCCTGATATGAGCGTATTGGTATGAGAAACGTCTGCCCGGTGGTCAGCTTTTATAGCTTAGATGGAAATCTGCTTCAACTCTCATCCACCTCCTTTTTAACCAATAGGAACTCTCACAATTTGATTTCGGCCCTGCCGATCTAACTCTAATATTGTCAACAGTGCCCACCTTTTTTATGACCAATAGTAACCCAACAATTTGATCAACTCTTTTGTCAACAGTTCCAACCTCTCTTTTTGACCAATAGGAAAACACCAAACAATTTCGTAAGAATGCAAAAATGAGCAGCTCCTTTTATGTCAACTGTTCCAACCTCTCTTTTTGACAAATAGGAACACACCAAATTCCAAATGCAATGCCATGCGCACTAACACCTATTTATCAACAGTGTCACCTCTTTTCTTAACCAATAGGAACACCAAATTCTGAAAAGCCTTGGCCGATCCTTTTTCACAATAGTTCTCTATATTTATTTTCACACTTTGGATGTTGACCTTTCTGAGCGGGAAATTCATCCCCAAAATTCTTTTGCTTTTAGATTATAATAGATTTTGAATACATAAATATTAATTCATAACTACTTTAGTTATGAAGTTTTTTTTATGAAAACAATCATGAATAGGGCTTTGAAGAATTGATTGAGGGTCGGGATCATCTAGATAGGGTCATAGGGATTGGCTTTGGGTTGGGTAGTTTCTTATTGGTTTCTTTTTGTTTTTTCTCGTTATTTATCTTTTCTGTACAAATAAGACTATCGTTGTTTTCTATGACATATTTAGTCCTAATTAGGCCAGTTTAGTACTTTTAGTAAGATTAATTAAATTGTAATTCTGAAATAAAATATAAGTAGTCCTATTTATTAAAAAAATGAAGTTTTTTTTTATTAATATAACTCCTGATATATGAAAAAGACCCAAATAACCGAAAAAAACTGACTAGAGATTTGAGAGTCCAAAAATATGACTCTTTATGAGTAAAATGAAATTTTTAAATGAAGGGGAGTTTGAATGCAAAACAAATACGAAAGAATTGGCTTCCCTGTAATTTAGGAGAATAGGAGGGAAAGTAGAGAGCCGTGAATGGGTATATTCAATTCCCTCATGGAAGTTTGTTTCAATTTTGATAGTGAGGGCAGAGTATCCACATTGATGATCTTTAGTTTTACATTTTTTTATGGCTTAATTATTATTGTCATGTCACCTCTACATAAGATAATTCAACTAATTTCCAAATCAATTAATTTCTCCCCATTCATGATCTTAATTTATCTTGGATAGGAGCATGAGCATGCACGAACTACAAAACTAGTCATTACCATAATTATGAGTATATGCCTAGAAGTTGAAAATAATCTCAAAATAATCCAGCTTTAAAATTTGATACCAGATTATTTTATCAAATAATCTCATAAATTAATCTCACCTCCTCATCCATGATCCCAAAAACAATCATCTACATCATCAAAATGATCCCAAAAATAATTCATGAATGTGGATGCCCTTAGTGACTAGTTAAATATGGGAGGATTTTCTTAGTGACTACAAGACATTAAGTTATGACGTAGTCACTAACATTACAATTGGATCATTATTGAGAGTCACTAACGGATTTGTGGCCTTAGTGTCACTGATGGTGTGCGGCGGTACAAGAGGATCAAGGGCAGCGTCGACTTGCATAGAGTCGATTTGTAACCTCAAAGTTATAGACAGTGACATTAGTAGTGGTGGCAGCTATCATTGACGGATTTGCGATCTTAAAGTCACTAACATGGGTGTCTAGGTGATGGTGCCGAATGGGTGTGGTTTTTGGTGCCATGGCGGCGGGAGTACGTAGTAACTAAATTAGCACTGAAATATTATTATGTAATAACTGAAGCAATAAAGGTGTATATTTAAGGTGGATGTGAGACATCTTTATCTAAAATCTTATACTCCGGAGTAATAGTGAATGAGAATGAGAGATTTTTTGGTACGGAAAATGTGTTGGTGCAATTATAAGCTAATACGAGTATAAATTTGTACTTTAAGTTGAAACCATTGTACTTTAATCTCTCCAACATCTTTATTACCATACGAAGTACGAACCCTCACCTCCGTTAATTTTTACGTACTAAAGTGATGGAATGCGTGAGAGTGTGAGACAGTGAGACCCTTCATTTCGTTAATAGATGCATCTGCACACCCTTCTTTTATTTTTCTTATTACTGCAGATTAATAATATGGGAAAAGCACAATCTTATTTTTTTGTTTAACGAATACGAAGTAGGTAGTTTTGATGTTTTTTCCCCTTTCTTTCTCGAGCAAGAAATAAACACAATACTACCTCCGTCCCAAATTGATTTGCAAATTTGACTTTTCTTGGTCAAACAGATTCGTTTTGTTCAGTTAATTAGGATGTCAATTCTTAATTATATTCTAATTTGGAGTTTACAACTTTGAAGAGATTTTAATGTAGTTTATGAATATGTAAATTTTACTTATTAAAAATTGAATTAATTATCGATAAGGAGAGTTGACTTCTATTATTGGTTGACCGAAAAATGTTGATTTTGCAAAACAAATTGGGACGGAGGGAGTATAACGGTCAACCCTACTTTTTTTTTTATAGGAAACCACCCGGATCATGGGGCTCTTCAAAATAAGGAAGAATAGTGCTTTGAATAAAATTCAAGAAAAAAAGAATTCAAGAAGAATAGAACACAAGAAAACATGGAGGAGAAACTGGGCACATGAACTGACGGATTCAGAACTAACAGAGAGAACACACAATGTGAAAACACAGAATTAAGCACAAATACCTATCTTAAAATTCAGTACCATATAAATTAAAAGTTTCAGCAATCATGAGTCAAAAACATAGAGTCAATTCCCTAAATAAGACTAAAAAGTGGCAAAATTGCACAAATAGGATTATATTTTTTAAATTCCCTTAATATGACTATTTATGTATGTTTGGACAAATATACCCTTGTAACTTGTGAAATGTTATACTCCATAATTAATAATAAAATCATAAAAATCGAAAAAAATACTAAAAAAACGTAAAAAAATAATAGAAAAATAATAAAAATATTTCTTTAAAAAATATTTTTTTTAAAAAAACTAAAAAAAATAAAAAAATCCTAAAATTAAAAAAAAAACATTAACACCCCTGCCACCCTTGCACCACCAGCTCCTATCACCGGAGAAAAATATGCCAACATTTTAAATAATGCCATAATGATGGCATATTCAATGAAAATGTTGGCATATCGAAGAGTAATTATGCCATCTTTTTGGCATTTTCAGAAAAAGATGACATTTTTTTACCAAAAATGGAAGACATTTCACCAATCGGAGGTAGTGGTGTTGGGAGGCCCCGGGAGGTGGTGGGAAAGGTATCCATAATTGTCTTCATTTTTAATGGGTTTTTACTATTTTTTATTATTTTTTTAAAAAAAATAAAAAAAATAAAAATTAAATTTTTTATTTTATAAATTTTTTATAAATTTTTATGATTTTTTTACGTTTTTGAAATATTTTTTACTATTTGTTATGATTTTATTATGAATTAAAGCATTTCATTATGAATTAATACTCTTAGGGGTATTTAGGGTATAAAATCAATGTTTAGTTCTATTTAGGGAATTCAAAAAGTAGCAGTCGGAAAAACATATGTAGTTGGCACACAATTCGTAGTATGCAAGTCAAAAACATGTGAAGCCAATGTTTCAAACACAATCTTAGCTTTACTCTATTGAGCTTGTTATATTATCTAGCTTGTTAATCTCGAAGTAAGGAACAATGATGAATACATGATTGATGGAATATCTTCGTTGCTGTTCATGAAATGCAAAAAACTGCTACGAATATATTCTCAGATAAGCAAGCGTGCATTGGAGAGAGTAATGGGACAAAATAAAATTTGTAAGTCAACCCAAATACATAATGGGACAAGCTAATGAAGCATTTGGTAATAAAAAAGCAAATAAAAAGGAATACTTGCACATCGGTTAAGGATTGTAA